GAAGAACATTAGAAACCTTCTTTTGTGTGAAGGACCTACCAACTTGCATAGATTTATAGTTGATTTCATACTATTGCACTGGATTTCCCATTTTCTCAGTCTCACTCTGAGTCAGCCCTCTGCAAAACCAGAAGTTCAGATTGAGCATTTTCAAAAAATATCCATGCACCACAAGCGGGATGACTGAAAATTCCAAGGCTACAACCTCAGGGCTCTTAAATATGTACACTCTTAAATGATATTGTACATCATTATTTAATATAAAATGTGCTAACAAGCTATTAAGGTGGTTCGATACAGTTTTTTCTGGCCCATACCTAGCATTTTCAATTGGCATTTTACCAACCCTCCCTTACTCTGATTGATGTGAAAGTTTTTGAAAAAGATTGAAGTTTGGTTGAAAATGTTTTTTTTAAGGTAATCGATATTTCCATGGACATGATAAACCAAAATACGAAAATCGTAAAGCATGAATTTTGTGTGAACCACATCTGTAATAGAAAATCTGATGACGATTTCTGAAATTACAATGTATGGCAATGGGAATATGCAAGAATAAAACAAATTCTCTATGTTTGATATTGAAGGAAGGACACTATTTTAATGCAATTGCCCCAAAAGACATCAAAATGTGTCTTGAAGTTTTGTTTTGAAGCCATGAAAGTTTTGTTGGTTTGTGTTTTCTTGATCTTGAGATCAAGACTTTTTCTCAACATCACTTCCATAATAAATTTAGAACATTGGAGCAATTTCATTAAAATAGTGTCCTTCCTTCAGTCTATTTAATTTCATTAAACAAAAAGCATGGTTTGAAACGTTTTTGAAATTTATTCGAAATCAAACATACAGAATTTGTTTTGTTCTTGCATATTCCCCTTCATTAACATTTAAGCAGCAGTCGTTGCAGCACTTGCAAGTGTCTTAGACACTTACATGTACAAGTAGTGCTTGGTGCAGGCATAATATATTTCGTAAGGTATACAAACTATTTAGAATAAGTTAAGTGACCTTAAATTCCCTGTCTTTTCCTCCATCCTCACTAGCCAACTTGACGCTAAGTTCAGCCTATGCAACAGTCAGAACAAATCAAACTTCAGTTAACAAGCATTGAGCACAAATCTTCTGGTAAACATAATGGTGCTACAATTTATTTTTCAATTATAAAACAAAGTTCTATTAGTCGAGTACATGTGCTCAGGACAAGCTTTCCTTGCAAAGTGTTGCAGCCTTCTTGCACAAGGTTTTCATTTAACTAGTGATACATGTATTTATGGGGGTGGGGGCGGGCATGGGGCATACAGCCCTTAATAATGCGGGGTACATGTTAGCAAAGGTGCTCCAGTATACAAAGTACCTCTTTCTGCAGGGTGCTCCTTTATCTGACATGCAATGTTATGGGAAGTAACCTTTTATTGGATTCTCCCTTTATGGAAGGTGACCTTTTACCCAGAAATATCTCTTTATGAGATTAGTGCCCCTTTAAAGTTAATGGAGGGTGCCCCTTTATAGAAGGTTCCCCTATAAGTTATGGGAAGTGCCTCTTAGTGCGTGGTGCCTTTTATGGGAGGTGCCTATTTATGGGAAGTTCCCCTTAATGGGAATTGCAATGATGGGAGGTACCCCTTTAATGGAGGTGCTCCTTTATGGGAGGTGGCCCTTTCTGGGAGGTGCCCCCTTATGGGTGGTGCCCCTTTATGGGTTCCCTTTAAAAGGAGGGGCTACTTTAAGGAAGGTGCTCCTTTCTGGGAGGTACCCCTTACGGGTGGTCCCCCTTTATGGGAAGTGCCCCAT